ATTTGCCTAGGCCATAATGCATCAATTTCTCCAGGAGGAGGCTGTGGGGAAGCGTGTCAAAAGCCTTGGAGAAGTCCAGGTAGACAATGTCCACTGCTTGCCCCATGTGAATCAAGCAGGTCACATTATCATAGAAGGCCACTGGATTTGTCAAGCACGATCTGCCCTTAGGGAAGCCATGTTGGCTTTTCCCAATCACATGCTTCATTTGACTTGTGATGTCTCCCAGGAGGATTCGTTCAATAACTTTCCCAGGAATTGAAGTAAGACTGATGGGCCTATATTTACCCACATCCTCCCTTGAGCCCTTCTTTTAGATAGGGGTAACATTAGTCTTCCTCCAGTCCTCTGGGACATCGCCCAATCTCTATGACTTCTCAAAGATTATGGAGAGTGGCCTTGCAATGACATCAGCCAGCTCTTTCAACACCCTTAGGTGGATGGTGTTAGGGCCCATAGATTTGTAGGGCTCAGCTCCTGTAGTAATTCACATTCTACCTCTTCTTTCACTGATGGTGAATCTATGTTTGGATCAACCTAGATTTTTTGTTCCCAAAGCCTGTGATCTGACAGTGTTGGTAAAGACAGAGGTGAAGAAAGTGTTGAGAATCTGCCTTTTCAGCACTGTTGGTGACTGATTCACCTCTTCTGTTTAACAGTGGGCTTATGTTTTTCTTCTGTTTCTGCTTGTAGTTTACATACCTGAAGAACCCTTTCTTGTGATTTTTGACATCTCTGGCCAGTTTCAATTCAAGTTGAGCCTTTGCTTTTCTAACTGCACCTCTGCACACTCTGGCAATGCCCTTGTAGTTCCCAATGGATAATCTTCCACTTCTCCATCTCCAGTATGCTTCTCTTTTGGTATTGAGCAGACCCAGGAGCTCATGGTTGAGCCAAGGAGGCCTCTTGTTCTGCTTATTTCCCTTTTCTTTATTGGGGATAAACTGGTTTTGTGTTTCCAAAGTTCTTGAAGAACTCCCAGCACTCACTAGCTCCTTTATCCTCCATGGAAGCATCCCATGGAATCCCCCCCAACTGCACTCTGAGCAAGCTGAAGATTGCTCTTCTAAAACCTAGAACCCTTGTCTCAGTACTAACCTTCAGCAAGCTCAGCAGGATCCCAAACTCCAAAATATTGTGATCATTGCAGCCAAGGTTGTTACTAACCAAGATATTACAAAGCAGGTTTTCTTGGTTTATGAATAGCAAGTCCAGCAGTGCCTCATTCCTGATTGGCACATCTAACATTTGTATGAGGAAACAGTCCTCTATGCATTCCAGGAACTTGCTCAATGACATGCGAGCTGCTGTATTTTTCTTCCAGCAAATGTCTGGGTGGTTGAAATCACCCATAAGAACCAGGTTCTGTTGACCAGAAGCTTGTTTTAGTGCCCCAAATACTGCTTCATCAGCTTTATCATTGTGGTTTGGAGGTCGGTAGCAGATGCAGACTGTAAGATCCTGCTTGGAGATGACCTCTCTGATTTCAACCCAGAGGCATTCAATAGAGCATTCACAATCACCATAGATGACTTCGATACATTCAACATTTTCCTTAATATAGAGTGCAACTCCTCCACCTCATCTTCCCTGCCTGTCTTTGTGAAATTACCTATAACTCTGCATTATGATCCCCCAGTTATGTGAGTTGCCCCACCATGTTTCCGCTATTGTGAAATCATAACCTTCTGACTGGGCACGGAGCTCCAGTTCCTCCTGTTTGTTTCCCAGACTCTGCATTTGTATACATACACTTGTGGTGATCTTCTGGTTCACATCTTGGGAGACAGCTAAGGAACATTTGTTGCCATACTGGTTGACCTGACTTACTCCCCAGCTGGCTGTGATGGGATGAGCACTTCTGTTTTGGACCCCACTCCCCAAGTGCTTCAGTTTAAAGCCCACTTCACCAAGTTAGCCAGCCTGTTACTGAAGATTCCCTTGCCTCTTCTAGACAGGTGGATTCAATCCCTCCCTAACATGTTATAGTCATTGAAGAATGCCCCATTGTCATAAAAGCCAAAACCTTCACGATGGCCCCAGCCATGTAGCCAGGAGTTGATATAAATTATGTGCCTATTTCTGCCTGTCCCCTTCCCTCAAAATGGAAAAATGAAAGAAAAGATAACTTGGGCACCCATGTTTTTCAGTTGCACCCCCAGGGCTTGAAAGTCTTCCTTGATTTTATCCAGGTTTCTGCTTTCAGTGTTGTTCATGCCTACATGAAATAGTAACAATGGATAGTAGTCTATTCTCTTGATGAGTTGTGGTACCCTCTCAACCACTTCTTGAACCTTAGCATACCTCTTGTGACTCCCTGTCAGGTTGGCAGATGGGTGTCTCAGTACCCTTCCACAGAAAGTCACCCACTATGAGCACGCATAATTTCTTTTTATGGTATCTACTGTGTGTTGCTGGTACAGTTTCCACTTGCACAGGACTTTGCAGACCTTGCTCATGGGTGTCCTTAGCTGTTAAGGCTTTGTATCTGTTTCTGAAGTGCTCACCAAGCCACTTTCCATCATTTATCAGCAGTCCTGGCTAACCAGGGAGATCCCGGTTGACTGGAGGTTAGCAAATGTGATGTCCATCTACAAGAAGGGCCAGAAGGAGGATCCGGGGAACCACAGGCCTGTCAGTCTGACCTTGGTGCCAGGGAAGGTTATGGAGCAGATCATCTCGAGTGTCATCACGGAGCATGTTCAGGACAACCAGGTGATCAGGCCTCGTCAGCATGGGTTTATGAAAGGCAGGACCTGCTGACTAACCTGATCTCCTTCTATGACCAGGGGACCTGCTTAGTGGGAAAGGCTGTGGATGTTGTCTACCTGGACTCTAATAAATCCTCTGACACCGTTTCCCACAGCATTCTGCTTGAGAAACTGGTTGCTCATGGCTTGGACGGGCCTCCACTTTGCTGGATAAAAAAATGGCTGGATGGCTGGGCCCAAAGAGTTGTGATGAATGAAGTTAAATCCAGTTGGCAGCCAGTCACAAGCAGTGTTCCCCAGGGCTCAGTGTTGGGGGCCAGTTCTATTTAATACCTTCATCGATGATCTGCATAAGAGGATCAAGTACACCCTCAGTAAGTTTGCAGATGACACCAAGTTAGGTGGGAGTGTTGATCTGCTTGAGGCTAGGAAGGCCCTGTAGAGGGACCTGGCCAGGCAGGATCAATGGGCTGAGGCCAATTATATGAATTTCAACAAGGCCAAGTGCTGGGTCCTGCACATGGGTCACAACAACCCCATGCAATGCTATAGGCTTGGGGATGAGTGGCTGGAAAGCTGCCTAGCCAAAAAGGACCTGGGGGTGTTGGTCAACAGTCAGCTGAATATGAGCCAGCAGTGTGCTCAGGTGGCCAAGAAGGCCAATGGCATCCTGGCTTGTACCAGGAATAGTGTGGCCAGCAGGAGTAGGGAAGTGATCGTACCCCTGTACTCTGCACTGGTGAGACAGTACCTCAAATACTCTGTTCCATTTTGGACTCCTCACTACAAGAAAGATGTTGCATTGCTGGAACATATCCAGAGGAGAGCAACAAAACTGGTGAGGGATCTGGAGCACAAGTCTTATGAGAAGCAGCTGAAGAAACTGGGGTTGTTTAGGCTGGAGAAGAGGAGGCTGAGGGGAGACCTTATCGCCCTCTACAACTGCCTGAAAGGAGGCTGTAGTGAGGTGGGTGTTGGTCTCTTCTGCCAAGAAACAAGTGACAGGACAAGAGGTACTGGCCTCAAGTTGGGCCAGGGGAGGTTTAGATTGGATATTAGGAAAAGTTTCTTCACTGAAAGGGTTGTCAGGCTCTGGAACAGGTTGCCCAGGGAGGTGGTTGAGTCCCCATCCCTGGAGGTGTTTAAAAGACCTATAGACATGGCACTTAGGGACATGGCTTAGTGGTGGAATGGCAGTGTTAGGTTAGCAGTTGGACTTGATGATCTTACAGGTCTTTTCCACCCTAAACAATTCTATGCTTCTACAGAGCCAAGGCAAAAGGTAGCAGCCTTATTTAAGATGAACCAAAATTCGTAACCAGTATTTTAGATGAATCCCAAATTTATGAGAAGCTCCCTGTATGATCAGTGGCACATCAAATTTTGCCAGAAGAAAATTATTAATCTGCCTTGTCATACTGTACCACTAGAAAGGCTTGGAGGATTCTTAAGTGTCAGTTATTCTGGAGACCTGGGGGGTTGTTGACATTAATTCTATATTTGGTTTTATAGTGGAGATTTTGCCCACCTATTTAGAAACAAAAAAATCCCAGACTAAGTTGATAAAACTAAAAGTAATTTGGAGAGTTGTCAAAGGTCTTTCCTCCCCCAAATCTGTCAGGTAAATATCTCTGGGGTTAAAACAAAGAAAATAAATTAATCTCCACCTTCTTATTACAATACAAAGTGAGAGAAGCCAGGAAACACAGTGCAAAACCTGATGGTACACAGTGTCCTTAGATCACTTGGCCATTGTTTTCTCTCACAGCAGCACATGTTAATGATACAAAGAAGTTTAATATTTTTTGGCTTTGGCTTTTCATGTCACAACCATAATAAATGTGCACATTATTGTTTGTATTGCCATATCCTTTAGATGCACCGCCAGTTTCTAGAGCCTGTGCATGCATAGCCAAGGACAGGATTTTTCTCACAAGTAGCCTGACTGAATTAAGTTATGCAGAAACATTGCCACACAGATTAAGCTGCAAAGTAGTGTGCCATGGTACAACATGTGTATGGTGCAAAGATGTTGCATGGGTCAAACTTGATTTAAACCTGCAATTCTACTGCAGGAAGACCAAAGCTAATTTGTCCTTTGCTAACAAACTTAATTCTGGTTTTAAAGGGTCTTATATGGGTCTAAGACATCCTTACTTGCATTTAGTTAAAAAAACACCAACAACCTCAAAAACAATAAAATAGAAAATAAAATGTTAAACTCATGAAAACAGGAAGGAAAAAAGAGATTTGGGTTTTTGTTTGTTTTAAGGATTTTGGGCAAGACAGAAAAAATCAAATATGATGAAGAATGAAGAAACGAATTTTAATGTGGACAGTACGCGAGCCTCTCCCTTCTCCCGCTGCCTGCAGCCACTGAGCCCTGTTACAAAGGCACACAGAACAACTCCATTTGGTGAAGAATTCAGACCACACCTCTCACATTTCCGCTATGGCCCTCCTCCTCTTGGAGACATGGAAACATTCCAGGGGTCCTTGGAAGGAGGGTCTCGGAAACGCAAGAGCATGCCAACAAAAATGCCTCCTTCTATCACCCTTGAGGGTTCCTCATTGCCACCAGACAGACCTGAAGATCACAGTGACATAGGCTCTTCCAGTCTCCCCATGGTATTCCAACCACCAACACAGCCAAAGTATAGTTCCCAGATGATTGACCTCTGCAACTTTGGTTTTCAGTTCTACAGAACTCTAGAACACTTTGGAGCCAAGCCTATTAAGCAAGAGCCAGTGAAGCCTAACATGACATGGCCCAGTAGCCCAGCATTCGTGCAGCCTCCTTACCCTTATTATCCTAAAGTCCACCCTGGTTTAATGTTTCCTTTTATTGTGCCACCAAATTTTCATTTCAGGAACCCCTTTCAAATGAAAAGACCTCCAGAGCCACCCTTCAGGAGGGCTGAAGTAAGAGAAAGTGGTGAAAATAAACAGAAAGTGGAAAGAGTAGACGTCAACCTTCAGATAGATGACAGTTACTATGTTGATGTAGGGGGTGAACAGAAACGCTGGCAATGTCCCATGTGTGAGAAGTCCTATACATCCAAGTACAATTTGGTCACCCATATCTTGGGGCACAGTGGCATTAAGCCACATGCTTGCACCCGCTGTGGCAAGCTTTTCAAGCAGCTGAGCCACTTGCACACACATATGTTGACCCACCAGGGCACTCGGCCACACAAGTGCCAGGTGTGCCACAAGGCTTTCACTCAAACCAGTCACCTTAAGAGACACATGATGCAACACAGTGACATCAAGCCTTACAACTGCAGGATCTGTGGGAGAGGTTTTGCCTACCCCAGCGAGCTGAAAGCACATGAGTCTAAGCACGAGAGTGGCCGAGAGAACATTTGTGTGGAGTGTGGTCTGGACTTCCCAACCCTGGCCCAGCTGAAGAGACACTTAACAACCCACCGTGGCCCTATACAGTACAGTTGCACTGAATGTGATAAGACCTTCCAGTACCCGAGTCAGCTGCAAAACCACATGATGAAGCACAAAGACATCCGCCCATACATCTGCACTGAATGCGGCATGGAGTTTGTGCAGCCCCACCATCTCAAACAGCACTCTCTAACTCACAAGGTAAGTCAGCACGGGTTGCGCTCTCACCTTGCATCAGAATGTAGCACAAGGATTGCAGGCTACTAAAGATATGCCCATGTACCTTCTCGGAATGAAGGCAATCAGTCTGTATAGCCTCATGCTGGCCCTTTGCCAGCTGGAGAGTTTTATGTGGAGCATAAAGCCCCGGCAGCACTGGCAATAGTAAAAGCTAGATGTCTCTTGTCAGTCTTAGGGAAGTACACACAAAACCTGCTTTGTTATAAACAGGAATTCCATTTAATCACCTGTATTACTTCCCAAAACTGTATTCACATCTTCTGTGTTTTATCTTCAGAACGACCTTCTGTAACATAACAGAATTTTGTAGAGCTGTATAGCCCCCCCCTGAAATTGTAACAGTAATTTTCTACTGAAACCCAGTTCCATTGCTTTGCTCTCTTGATTGGGAAGTAGGTGGGATTGCAGTAGACTGTATGTATGCAGCAAAAGAAAGTATATTATTACTCATCAGATTTTGAAGAATCATATAATGAGACATTTAGGGGGAAAAAACAACCTAAGAAAAATTCCCCTTTGTGTGTAAGTTATCCAGAATGCCAGTTAATAAAAGCAGACAAGCAGGAACATAATCCCAGCCAATTCATATCAAGTGGCAGTCTTGCCACTGCTGACAGCAATGACAGCAGAGTCAGTTTAGGCTTGGAGCAGGCCTTGGAACACATCCAGAAAGAATGCTTTCAGAAATAGGGAAAATGTAACTGTTCTATTCAAGAATGTCTGAAATTGGCTTATCTACCTGTACAAAAATGTTTTTTAAGACATGTCAAAACCCCACACATTTTAGAAAAATTTGCTTCCAGCTTTGCATATTTTTTCTTTAACACTTGAATTTTAGCTTTTATATGAAAAACATTAAAAATACAGAAAACTGCAACATTTCAGTCTTATAGACACATTTTATTTTAAAAACTAACACCCCCTACTTCCACATTTGCTTTTTCTTCCCTACTACATGATTATAATTTCTGCCCTTTTTGGAGATTCCCTGGTCTTTGGATTTACCATGCAAAATTATACTAATTCAAGACTTGGTAGGTTTTTGTCACAGGAAATGCAATGCCCCTGAGCCTTTAGAGAGCTTCTGCTTTTTTGTCCACAGCTGCAGGTGGATTCAGCTGTGAACATAATTAACAGTACTTAGCTGCCCAAATGCAGCCCCACATCAGGTAGGCAGACACTTAAAGCCATTGTTGGTGTTCATGGTTTTAGCTTTGCAATTAACTGTGAAAACCACTGACTGGCACAAAAGTAGAGATCATTTCAAGTCTTCTTTGTAATGGGGGCCTGCAGGAGGAGTAATTGCTGTCAGCACTTCACTAGTAAGTCCTCATTACCTTCAGCAAGTCATACTCAGACTCTTAAAGTGTTTAGTGGTAAATTAATCAATTTTCAAAACATCTAAATGACTTTTTGAGGAGCTGGCAGTTAGACCCCATGAGTGTGAGCAAGAATATTGAATTATGCATTAGTAAATTGATAAGATGACATGACATGCTAGAAATGCCCTGTAAACACCAGATAAAATGAGAACACTCCATTAGGGTTAGTGCAAGTCCCACTAAGAGTGAACAGCTTTTTCTCTTTATTGAATGTAACATGTATACCCTTATTTGGTGACATTGCTTGACTACTTCTCAGTTACTTCAGATTATTTTCTATAGCTTTTTTAGAAGCCAGTGACGTTAAATTATCAAAGGCAAGCACCACTTTAGTCTCTTAACATGGTTAGGTTTTATTCTTGGTCAGTAAGTGTTCACATTTAACCAGTACTTCACACAAGCAGCAGAGCAAGATAGAGAAGCTCTGCTACTGACTATGTCTCATTGATTTGTAAACTTACTGATGGAAACAAAGCCCATTATTTCATTAATCTTACATTTTGTTTTCCTTCTCTGCTTCTCAGATTCTTGTAAGAATTTGCCAGGAAAAAAATACATAAGTATCTATTACTTAAGCAAATTATGTTAAAAATAAAATAATGTATTACCTACTTCGTTAATGCAGAATGAATAATTCATGTATTGCTGTACTGAAAATTAAAGTATGTAGAAAATTTTCCACCTACAGAATTTTCTGATTTTTTTCTTTTCTTACAGGGTGTGAAAGAGCACAAATGTGGAATTTGTGGCCGGGAGTTTACTCTGCTGGCCAACATGAAACGACATGTCCTGATCCACACCAATATCAGAGCCTATCAATGCCATTTGTGCTTCAAGAGCTTTGTGCAAAAGCAGACTCTCAAGGCCCATATGATTGTTCACTCTGATGTCAAACCCTTTAAATGCAAGGTAAGTGCATCTGGTGGCAGAGGCATTAACCCACTGGCTATTTTTGTGATATTATCATCTTGCAATATGGTAGCGTTAGAAGAACAAGAATTGCTAACACATACTGCAGTTGCACCTAAATTGGCATAAACCAGCCTGCTTTCTTTCTTTATCCAGGTTCTGGTTATGTAGCACCAAATAATGGAGATGAATATCTGTGTTTTAATCCCTTCCCTTTCAATATCAGTAACTTTCATCCTCAAATATTTTTTTTCTGCTTTCTGGGCATTTAAATGCCACAGCAGTTTGAGGACAATAAACATACCTGACATTTGCTTAGTACAGCCATCCAAACAGACGACTAAGTGCTTAAGAGCTTGAAACACTAAGTAAAAACATAGATCAAGTCGTGCACCCCCCAGAGGGCCATGGAAAAGCGACAGCCATGACTTGTCATGGTGATGCTGTGCATCAGTTCAAGGAAGGACTCAAAGAAAGCCACGCAAAATACAGCTGCAGAAGGGATTTGAATGGGCTGACTGTAATTACAACACTGAAATTCAGGGCAGGACATCAGTATCCTAACAAAACAGACTGTGAGACCATCTGGCCTTTTTAGGATCCTGTGCGAATTCCAGTTTGCTGCCTCCCTCCTGCACACTGGAGGCTGACATTCCCTTTCCATCCTCTCTTCTCCTCCTTCCCCATAAACCTCTAAGACTTTGGCTTTCTTGACCATGCTCATCTCTAATACCTTCCTTATGAATTATTCATGTTTATATTCTTACTCAGACTTGCACTTATTGGACACTACATCTGTTCATTTTGCTGCCTATCTCGTTCATTACTGTAATCATACTTTGTGAAGTCAAAGGTTGTAGGTTTTATTCCCACTTTGATCCGCTCTAAGAGGACTATAAATACAGAGTGGGACATATTACCCAGTTCATGCCTATGTAACTGAAGATTGATCTGGGAGCAATTTCTAGAACTCTTTCATCCAACATCTTTTTGGAATTAAATATTTCCTTAAAAGGAAAGTTTCACTGAGAAGCAGAGCTGGAGGAAAAAATTTAAATGAAATTATTTTCTCTTGAAAAATGTAGAACTTCAAAATGTCATAGGAAAATACAGCATTCAGTGACAATTCATTCAGAATGAATCCTTTTGACTTCCTCATTTTGCTTTGATAACTTTGAAACATTTCACTTTGAAAAATTAACAACAAAGTCCTTCAACTTTAGCTTTTTGTTTCATTTTAATGTACGTCCTATTAAAATGTTATTTTGCATACTAGGACTTATATTATTCTGTATTGATAAAATAATTTCTGTTAGTGAAATGCTTGGGTAGTTCCATATCAAGTCTCTGCTGGAGACTCATTCTCTGAGAACACCTGCAAACCTGTCTTTTTGTTCCCAATTGGACAAAGTCCTCCTCTGACCCCTCAAGTTCCAGAAAAGAAACTCAATTGTTTGATCAGCTGTTCTGGATGCAATATCTGGACCCACAGATGTGCAGCTGGAAGTTTGTGTTCAGGTTGGGGTTTGGTGATGACAGACTATTAAAACTTAGTGATGGCAATAGTTTGAACTGGGAACTAGAGTACCACCAGTATGCTTCCCAGCCAGTAACAACAGCACTACAGGAACACCTGTTTTTCTTAGTTTTTTACTTCTCTGTCCCCACCCAATGTTCCTAGGAGGAAAGAGACAAATATGCACAGTGAACTGGTTTCTCCAAGGCGGAAGGGGTATGAATCAACATTGGTGCCCGTGAACAGAGTGGAGATTTGTACGATAAGCAAAGGGAGAATCAGGAATTGCTGTTTGGCGTTAGGAACATCCCCTGCCTCTCTGGCAGAGCCCTTGAAAGACTCGAGCAAGTGTTTCTGGCTGGTATTCAGAGGGTTAAGGCAATGACCAGATAGCAGCCTTTTGGCACCAAGCTCCTCCTCAGCAGAAGGAAGGATATAGCTGTATGAACAGCCTGCTTAACAATGGCTCACATGTCCCCTGGGAACCGCCTGCAAATAGATTTCATCTTGCTTTCTCTTGTACTTTTCAAAGCTTCCTGTTTTCTCACGGTCCTTTTGGACAGTTTACAGTCTTTCTCCCTCTCCCTCTCTCTTTGAGGAAAGGAACACCCTTCTTATGAAGAAAAAAAAAAAAAAGAAGAAGAATGAAAAGGAAAGAGAGCACAGCAGTAGCCTTTCTACTTCACCACATGCAATGGTTTTCTTTACCTTTTTCTCACAGCAAAAGAAAACATGAGGCTTTCCTATGTGTCTAATCACAGCTAAGCACAGAGCATCTGAAGTGAGGGAGTAGCAAATAGTTGTCCCTTCTGTTTCCTCATCCAGCTGCAGCCTGGATCTGTGTTTGATTTTTCTCTGAAGAGTGAACTTCTCTGTAGCGTTTAAAGGCCTGAGACTGTGCTGCCTTGTTTATTTCTGTTAAAAAAACCCAAACCAAACCAAAAACAAAACACCAAAGAGTTCTGAAGGAATTGCATCAACTGGTGCAATAGTGCCAGATCTGACTTGTAGAGGAAGCTTCTATGAAATTTACGGTTGCTTTTAGTGCTGAAGTCAGCAATGTTTCAGGCCTCCAGTAAAGAATGCAATGGAGTTTTCTCCAGCCCAGCCAAATACACTTTGCAGCAGATGTTTTGAACTCCATTTTTTTTCCCATCTAAAATCATGGGTTTAGATCAGGAGTCAAAAGCAGGGAAAATGTGAGTGATAAGTACTTTGGGAATAAACGAAAAAGACTGATGAATCTAGAAGGGCGATACTTCATGTGGTGGCTTAGGAAGACAAAATCTAGTGTTGAACTAATTCAGCTTTTCTAGCAAACTGCACTGAAGTCCATTTCACCAGCCAGTGCAACAAACTGTGTTCAGCAGACTTGCAGCTGAGGTCTTTCTCTTCAGGGCTTAAATTTTATTTTGTCTAAAGTAGACAGCCTAACAAAAGGTCCACAAGTAAACCATGTTGCTCCTGCTATCCCAAGATTGCTTGCATGAGCTTTGCATTTCCCTGAAGGTGCTCTGTGATAACTTCTGCTGGAGCTCCTTCCCATGTAACAGGCTCAGGGTCATCTTTCATACCCTGCTCATCAGTGTTCACACCCCTGCCCTGTCACAGAGAAAGAAAATCTTGTACACCTCCCTATTTTGGCCTGCAGATTCAGGCTGTTCTTTTAAGCACTGGCTGTGAACCCCAGCTAGCTCTGAGTTGCCGTCTTCCAGCATGTCAGCCCCAAACTTGCTCCCTTTGCCCTCTAGGTCATGGACATTCATCTGAAATTCATCTTGTGCCTTTTGAAAAGGGTAGGTTACCTGGAGACCATGCCACACAGAACCATCGTTCCAAAAACCAATTTTCATATCTGCGTTTCTTTCATTTTCCTGCCACACCTCTCCACTCCAGTACCATTTCCTCATGTCCCCAGAGGACATTTCAGGACAAGAACACATTACACATCCCTAAGACTGCACATGACTTTGGGAAATGGAAAACCTACACCCTTTATTCAGAGACACAAAACTGTTAGACTGTAAGCAACCATCCTTTAAGAAATGTCCTGTCTTTTCATTATGAAGAAAGAGAAAGAAATGTTGCCTTGACAGAAGCAAAATGAATGCTCCTACTAAATCCATTTTAATACTTAATGCCTTGTAAAGATATAGATTTGCATGAAGTACTCTAGCCACTCACCTCTTCAACCTGATTTTCCTTGATTATCAGTTTAGGTAGAGAAGTAAAGACCTAGCTATCAGAAAGCAAAAGCTGGTGAGAGCACAGGTCAGCCACAATACAAGCAGATAACCAGAAGACTTCTGCTAAGAGCCATTAGAGAGGTATTATTATTGGCATTCTTGTAGCCAGAGAAATATTGACATGTCAAGACATAATCAGCTGCTGTTCTTCCTTGCAAATTTTCTGTGCTCATTAGTGCTCCTTCTCCTGTTTCCTCCAGCACTTTCAGAGTGGTTTTTTGGTGCATTAATTTCCCTGAATATAAATCATCCGATATACCAGCTTTCTTTGACTGCAAAGAAGAGGCAGTCCTCTTTCCTAAGTGGATGGATGACCCTTGGAAAAAGATATCTTACTTTTACAAAATAATAACTTATTCTCAATGACTAGCCTTCTGCCTCTCCCTCCCCCTCCCCCTTCCCATCTTGGTAAACACTTTGCTGGTAAATTTATTTGCTAGAATGTTCATTTTAGCAAAATCACATAGAGCAAATCATTGAAGACAACATATGCAGTTGAAGCAAGTATTTTTTTAAAAGCAAGTGAAAATTTCCAGTCTCTTTCTTTTTGCAGCATTGACTCAGCTCTAGTTTTTATTTAAAAACAATACCACTGCAAATTTTTCTATTAACAAACTACTTCCATTTTCCCCTCAAGAGATGGTTTAAAATGCAAAGAATACAGTATTATTTCACCAAGGTCATTCCACTGTCTACATTTCATCCAGATATTCCAGGTGATGGTTTTGTGAATTTGAACCAAAAAATACAGCAGCAGATCATCTGTACTACAAAAACAAATTAAATCAGTAGTCAGATTAGACCAAAAATTTGGTGGCACCTCAGTAGTTTCTTTTTAGTAATTTTCTCCCCGATGAGCATGCTGCTTGATGGAAGTTTCAGTTACTCAGTAATGGCAAGTCTGGCTCATATAGTAATTAAGATCGTAACAAAAAAAATTATCTCATGGTAAAAGCATTTGTAGAAAGCAAGTAGAAAGCAAGCACAGAAGCTTGCAGAGGGTGGAAATAGCCACTTGAATGTGAATAAAATTATAAATCCTGGTAAGGGAAGACCAGAAGACAAGTTAAGACTGGAAGCTTGTAATAATGATGTCAAACTCTCATGTCTTGAGAATACATTCGATTTATAAGGGACCAGACAACAAAAGGACCCATCTAGATAAACAACAATGAAAAAAAAAAACCCTTATTGTTTCATCAAAGGGAAACTTGCGCGATCAATAGCTTGAGCTGGCAGGAACATGCTTCAGGGAAAGCTGAGTCATTCTTGCAGCCCCATGACTGTTTAAATTCCAGCTTAGTCACCAGAGACACCAAAACACAGAAGTTGGTAAACAGAAGTTAAGAGGATCAGAGAAAAATGGGGGAGCAAGAAACAAAGAAAAAAAGGAATTGCTTCTTCTAGCTTTAAGCAAAATTTGCAGCCTTTTCATTTCCACTTAAGGAGAAGTAATACTCTGCTTGACTGTTTCACAGAAACCCTTCATTGGTTTTATTTTGTATCTCCATCTCTGCCTGGCGTTGTTCTTGATTAAAGGCTAGATTTATAAACTACAAACAAAATGGTTCATCAGGGCAGAAAGTTATACTTTGAATTTCATTCAGGTTAAGAGCCTTCCAGGTTATGCACTTAAGCCTCTCCCCTCCTTACAACAACATTCCCTGCTTTTGGGGAATCTTTGACTGTGTGTCCTACTCACCAAATTTAAAAAATGACAGCAGTGCAGAAGGCCCTAGATAGAGCAGACTCAATTACATATTCTTGTCTGTTTTTTGCCTGTATCCTTGTAAAAAAAATTGCAGCCAGAAGCTGCCAGGGCTCAGGCTGAGATGGGTAGGTCCTATTTCCTTTTAAAATCTTCTCCATGGAGTACCCCTTTGAACTAATAATTTTAATTTTTACTGTTTTTACAGCTGTGTGGAAAGGAATTCAACAGAATGCACAATTTAATGGGACACATGCACTTGCACTCGGACAGTAAGCCTTTCAAGTGCCTCTACTGTCCCAGCAAATTCACCCTGAAGGGAAACCTAACCAGGCACATGAAGGTCAAACATGGGGTCATGGAAAGAGGATTTCATTCTCAAGGTAATATTTTCCAGCAAGGTTACTCTCTGAGAGATTTGAAGATATGTATTGGTAAACCCAAATGGGCTTTTTACCACAGATCCACAACCTTGTACCATAGATCCAATGCTATTGGAAGAGATTGAATTCCATACCTTGGGAGTTTGTTACTAACTACCTATATTACTGCAGGGCTACAGATCAGAGATCCTCAAGGTAGTGACACTTGTTCTCAGAGACCTTTCAAACTAGATAGCTAATGACACAGAAGTACAGACCAAGATGGAGGAGTAGATGGAGACAAAATGAGACACTAGTTATGAGCACAAAGAAAATAATTTTAGTACACTAAGTTGCTGTTAGGTGTTAGGGAGAATACAGTCAGTAGTGTAAGAGCAGAAGATTTATCAAGCTATACCAAACATTCATGTACTTAAGCCCAGGGCTCCCCATCCATCACTGGGAGAAGGTGCAATATCCACATTACCACAGAGCTTCTTCCAGCTTGTGGGTACCCCAAGACACAAATGAGTGAGCCTTAGTGAGGCTGTGGCAAATCTAGTTGACCAGGGGAATGATTGGATGACATGATCTTCCTGACTGAAGGTGTAGTTCCATTAATTTTTAATAAATGTTACCGTTTGAAGGGGTTTGATTCACAGAGGCTGACAGACCACAACCTAGCAGCCATGGACAAGAAGATACTTTTCCCCAGACACATCTGCTTAGGAGTTTATAGTTTTTTCCTCGTGTTTGAGGCATGTCATAAATCATAAATTCATTCAAAGCTGACAGAAGCAAAAAAATCTAAAAAAAATTATGGTTCTTGCTCACCACTTTTTGGATTCCAGTCTGGAATGGGAATGGAAGCCTGAATGACTCTATGTCCAGGACCCTGGGTTATTCTGTACCATGTTGACATAGATGATGTTAGGCAAAGGCCATAGGCTCAAGACTCAGTTCACAAAGAAACATGTGAACAGGAGGAGACACTCCTCCCTCATCTCAAAGTATATGGATTTTTGACTATCCAGGATATCCTGCAAAACATTTCTACCTTCCACCTACCACCCACCTTCCTAAAGTCAGCCTCATGTATGCACACATGCCAGTGCTACCTAAAGAAGTGGTGGACTTAGGGAGGATTGTTTAGAGAGTTTAGGTATCCAAGACATTTTGTTTGTTAAGACTTTCTGGATAAATAATTCTTTCATGGGTAAGATTTCTCAGTGTTCCTCAAATTCAAGATTTAGGGCAGCCTAGCACATATGTAAAACACATACTCTAATGACATTTGGCATAAAATTTACAAAGATCCTAACAGGTAATGAAATAAATGTCTCCCCCCATTCTCCACCCCTGCCCTGTAAATATTCTACAGCACTTGCTAGTTACACAATTACTTGAAATTGAAGATAGCCTAAGAGTTTTTCAGTGTACAGAGATTCTTCAGCCCTTGAAGCTTATCAGACACAGGACAATTTGTAAGGGCTGCCAGCTGCTCACGAACCATTTTAACAAATACAACCTGTTGCAAAGTAGCTGCTGGATTTAGCAAGAATGCATAGATCCTGCAGAAAATGGATTCAATTATTGAGGGGAAAAAACCAAACCAAACCAAGTAAAATAGTGGCTTTTGTAGATATTTGCTATTGGGTGAAATCCTAACCCCAGTATTGCTCTTTTAATTAAAATAGGCTATGTCTTCAGTGTCTGGATCTTCTTCTGTGCATCCTGATGCTAAGAGTGTGTTTGAGTCCACAGATGCCTCCTGGATAATATCTGGATTTCCAGAAAGACAGGAGACACTGACAAATATTAAGACAAATCAGATCCAGGACTACACCCAGATTATACTGCACCACTCAAAATCATCATGTGTTTATAATGGTTTCCTCAAGCTGAAACACTATCTAGTGCATAGAGCTTTTCAGTGGCGTAAGTGTCTTCTCAGTGAATGAAAGAGAAAAAATTAAGGAGAGTGGAGGTCGTAGACCACTGCAGCTTGATTGTCTTTTCATTTTTAAAGTAGTAACTTTGAAGCAGATTATCCATAGAAAAAACACATTAACATGTTTTTAATCTCTTCCACTCCTCTGGGAAAAAAAAAAATTGTACAAAACCTGGGACTTCGATTATGGCCTGTGATGCTTTAGATCAGTTTTCATTAAAAAAAATAGGAAGGAGCAAGTGGGTAGGTTCGCTGGCCAAAATAGTTTACAAGAGGCCAGGCTACTTCACTTTCGTTCCTAGCTCCCTCATCAAGTGTCTGGCATGTACAGCCCTATGTTTTGTGTGTCCTAACCTGGCTGTGAAATGTGTACAGAAACACTTCTTTTAATAGCATCTCAAAATAGATGCCATGAGATGTAAACAATAAAGTATTTGGAGTGGAAGAAAAAGGTAAAGTATGAAATGGAAGGCCACCTCAAGTTTTGCTTTTTAACCACGCATCATGTAGTAAAATTTCCTGTATATAAATTATTCCTTTTCTCCTCCCCTCAAACCACTACAAGGTTTTGGAAGAGGAAGAATTGCTCTGTCCCAGACAAATGTCTTGAGAAGCTTGGAACAGGAAGAGCCCTTTGATCTTTCCCAGAAAAGCCAAGGGAAGGGAGCCTCATTTCATTCAGATGGTGAGAGTGCCAAGGGAAGCTCATGCCAGGAAGAAGAGGAAGACAACTGCTATGAGGCAGAGCGGTACAGCCCTGCCATGTACCACCCTGATGATGATGACGACAAGATGTACTTGGCCCAAGATCTGTCTGGCAAACCTGAATGCATGATGAAGAACTTCAGAGAGCCCTACTGCAATGAGAAGGAAGAAGTTGTAAGTGAGGGAGGACTGGAGAAGAGAATAGAAAATGCAGACAAACAGGAGAGCCAAGGAGAGAGAGACCTTGCAAACAACAAAGAACACCTCAACTTCAGATCCTTTGAAAAGGCCAGACTTGGCCACTCTCTCTCTGATTACTTGTATTTCAAGCACAGGAACAAGAGTTTGAAAGAATTGCTGGAAAGAAAAATGGAAAAACAAACAATGCTTATAGGCCTTTAAAATGGACATTTTAAACCAGCTAGAAAATGGGGATCAGATAGCTTTGAACATGAACTGTAATTTACCAAAGCTTGGAAGTTTGTAGCAGTCTTTAGAAATCAACAATCCAAATTAATAAAAATAATTTAAGGTAAAATACATACATTAAAAGAAAAAAGCAGTCCAAGGTCACCAAGAAATTCAATAGATACTGAACAATAACATTTTTATACTTATCCATTTGATATATAAGCAGATAATGGGGTGGGTACAGAAGTTTATTTTCCTTTATCTGTTGTGGTAGAGACTTATATGCAATTTTCTAGTGATCAAAACCCAACATACCTTAGAGTTTGAGTTATCTGACTAAATATATATGAACACTTCTAACCATAAGTCTCAAAAAAAACCCCTGAAAGTACTAAGCGTTTCACAGTATAAGCAAGAGTACTATTAAACATGGTGTGCATGAAAGTGCTGTCACTCTCAGAACTAACACGGTCCAAATACTTTAATTTACTGAAGTGACTGTTAGTTCAACCACTTACATCAGAAATGGGAAACAAATTTAAAAGAAATATCTAATGTCTTGTGAGATAGTGAAGAGCAGCTCTGTAAGGCTTTGAAAGGGCCAAAATTCATTACAGTCACGGAAGCTTTTCCTCTGGCACGGGGATGTTAGTGCTTTGCTATGTTTCAGTCGCTATGGGAATATTCAGAAATTCTTCAAGTGAAATAACAGGGACTGTGTTGACATTTTGTTCTACTGTCTGCTCAGACCAATACATCTAATGAGCAGCAGCAGCAGTGGCATGTAGCATTTGCAAGTCTTGTTGTAATTACACTTAAAGCAATATGAGTAATTTCATTGAGAAAATTATGCAGTTTTGCCTTGCATCTCTTCAGTTTATCTTGGCTAGCAAGGATGATTTTGAAATACACAGGTCTGATCGGATTTTATTTTAGAAGGTATGCCAAAAAAGAGCCCTTACAGGACAAAGTACCTCACAGAGGAAAACTGGTTTTGGATTTCCTCTTATTGGAGCCAGAAATCCTCCCTTATCAACATGGCTTGACCAGTAAGCTCCAGGCCTTTCAGAAGAATTCTGCTCATGCTGCTTTTACTGAGGCATTCCCAACTTTTCATCCTCTGATTCCCATACAATTATATATTCATAGCAAAGAAGCTAAAAACACATTCCATTAAGCACATTCCATTAATCGCATGAACTCTTTGACCAGCACCTTGATTCCTGCATCTTCAAGATAGAAGACAAACAGCCCCACACCATCCTATTGCTTATAAGGAAATAAAGATTAAACAAGTCATTTAATTAGTCCTATGTCATTCTGACATCTCCGCTCAAAAGGTTAAAATCCATATATATGATAGATCTTTTCCAAATATTACGACCTTCTTCACTTGCCTGCCAAGTTCTTGATTTGAAATACCTTGCTATCATGCTCGATATATAGCAAGTTATAATTAAATATAGTCATATACTTATGGCTTGCTAAGGCTAGAATCATGTAGCTGCAGCTTTCTGCCATTATAAGAAACCACTCACCTTACAGAACTAATGATTCTCATACCCATCAGTTAATCAATGTTCGCAGGGCACCAGCCCTTATTCATCATAAAACTGGGTTTATGTAGTCTGAGGTTGCAGAAGGTGGTTTCATTTTTCAGGGCTCAAACACGGCATACTAAAGAATCTGAATGAAGAGCAGAAAAAGTTGTTTATAAAAGAAGCTGTAACATATGGGTGACTGTTCTAAATCTAATTACCTCTACAGCTGATGTACATACTTTTTTAAAACAAAAAGGGTATACCACAATGAAGTGAAATGGACGTCACTTTGCACCTAGAATTAATGATGTATTTCAAAATGAGGTGTATTTCAGAGGTACATAGCCATGCTTTTTCAGTGATTTTATCATATACATTCAACTTCCTTGCTTCCACTGCAAGATAACTCCTCTTGAAAAAGGAGCTATCTTTCTTTCAAGGAAGACATTGTGGTCAAGCAGAAGAATCAGAACATTTTCACAGTAATGTGTGTAACTGCATTCCTTCTTAGACTAGAGGGCAAATGATCAGGTAGAAATTCAGCATGGATCTAGGAGACTGGCTCTTAGAAATGGGAACAAGTCCCTTGGTTACCTTCTTGGCAATATCTTGTCTCTGCCAGACAAAAGCTCTTATTTGAGAACATATACAACCAAGAACTGGAAGCCACTGACTCTTAGAAATGTCTCTCTCAAGGTGGTGTAGATTCCAGCTGTGCATGATTCAAGATCCACCTTTGCAGCCAAAATAGTTTCTATGTAAGAGTAATAAACAAGGAAACAGGAACTTGGTTGCAATTTCTAGAATGGTGATCATGCAGATGAGTTGAACTTAGCAAGTCCCTTTGCTTCTGTGGTGGGTAAAGCATGCAGCCCTTCCATTGCAAAGCCCTGTTGTATATGCCTTGGAGAGTGTTATGGGACAACTAGACCAATCCTTATCAAGAAAGAGGCAAGCGATTACATATCAATAGCACACCAGGCAAATGAAGCAAAGGAGACATTTTCAGCAGAGCTCAGCTCCCAGCAGATAACATTGTAACCACAAAATGACATCTACTGGAAGTATGCAGTCCAGGGTGCCCGAAGTGTCCTTAGGAAAGGAAATCACTGCAAACAGTTCTGGGTTGTATGAAAGGTTAACCCGAACACTTTCAACCACTGCAGCTGATTTATCTGCTTCTATAGTGCTCATTGGAGCGAAAGCAACAGCCATCCACATACAGCCAGGTAGAAAGGAGTAGAGGTCCCTGGAATGGTGATGCTATTTGGGAATAATTTGTAAGGTGAATCCCTTTTCTTGCATTCTTCCTAGAAAGCAGAGACTATTGCATTACAATGGGGCCTTGAGGTTGTGCCCAGTCACATAGTCACACTAAGCCAATTCACAAACATCCAAGGCTAATTCACGTCAGAATAGCAGAGAACTCATCTAAAACCTAAGTCACCAGTGAGAGGAATTGCAAACAAAAGTATTACTGAGATAAGGAGACAGTGCCAAGTGACCTAAGCAAAGAGATTAGGAGATGATAGTCCTCCCTACTGCAGAACATAATGCAGCTGGGTCTAAGACACTTGCTACAAAGAGGCCCCAAAGGACAAATTAAAAGTGAAATAACAGCCTTCATTGTGAAGCACCTTGCTTTTCAAACGTAAGTTATTTTCACGTTATTTACATTGGCACTGTTTTGGGAACAGACAGTAACAGCCTTTGCTTTTTAATAGCTTTGAAAATGCTTTATAGAAATTTGCTCTCATAATTAAGTTATTTCCCATTTCTAATTTTTGAGGGATTAGCTTCCTTGTTTTGCTTTTAATAGAGGCTCAGAAGTCCTGTAGAGAGATTGCCTGTGTCCTGGACCTCGGGGGACACATTTTCTTTTTTTCTTCCCTCCTAATCTGAGTCTATCTACCTTCTTCTTGCTATGTTGTGGAAAAAAAAAAAGTATCTGACTCTTCTCTGCTATTTGGGTTTTCGGTTTGTGGTAACACATGAAATTATAGCTCAGTCTCTACCACCTCTATATTAAATCACAACCATACCATTTCCCTGCATTACTATATGAAGCCTAACTGCACCCTCTTGGAGACCATCAGAGCAAATGAGAGTTGCCTCAAACTCATATAACTGTCATGCTTTACAAACTCAAACTGAGATGCTTGTTGCAGCCGGCTTTCTTTACCTGTCTGCGACAACAACTCCCGTTCGAGGTGAGACAGCACAAGAGCCACACATGCGCCGCCCCCGGGCCACTGAGACACAGACACCAATATGAGGATATCACAAATGGTGTTTATTAACTCTCTTTTACTGCTTTTATATGCAAACTACTTCGTTCCCGTCTTTGCAGTTACATCATAAGCTCTATCACGGGGCGGTCAGTCCCTATCCTTTCCATACATCGCGAGATCTTCCGGTCGCCAATCCCTACAGATGCTTCAAGAAGCCATGCTGAGGAAAGGTAAATTGGCCACACCATAATGAGTCTGGGCAAGTGAAGGCATGTGGTTTGTTAAATCAGAGGCTTTTCTGCTCTTAAGGGCAGCAAGGAGAATTCTGCAAGACACCGTACAGAACAGAGTAGGTGGATGAAAAGTCAAAAGTTGGGTTAGTAAAATCTGAGGGTAAAGAAACACAACGTATTTACTGAGGAGGTGAAGTTGTAGGTAACCCTGGAACAAGCTGTTTTGTCTGGCCACCAGGACTCAGCCATCTCCTTGCCAACCTGAGTTCTCCTGGTTGCCGGGCAGCCTCCAGCCTGTGAAGGCAAAGAGAAGTGCTCTGTGCTCAGCAGCCCAAAGGATGAAACACTTCATGATAATATTATAGTAGAAGTTTATCCTGTGTTGTGTTCTGTAAAACAAGTTACTGGAAAGGCCAGGTAATGCTACTACACCCACCTTTTTACAACTCTGTATTAGTCTACTAGCTATTCTCCGATTTCTATCTTCATGTGGTGCTGCTGGACTCTGCTGTTGTAAGTGTACAGTTAAGAAGTAATATAAGTACTATATTTATTATGCCAAGAAGTTTTTAATAATTATTAACAGTTTTGAAATAAGTCATGTCTGCTTAGCTGAACAAGATGTAACACAGCTAACATTTTGTACTCCTAACAGATTTTGCAAATAATGTGATGTATATTTTTTTTCACATAGAACACTGGGTTCTCTTTAAAGCCCCAACTCAAAAAATGGACCAACTATGTGAATATTTAGTTTCTGGCTTTCTATCTCAATAGTAAAAGCATGTATGATGTATTGTATTAATTTAAGCAAATAAATACGTACTGAAGAAGCTGCTGTACTTTGTATTGAAATGCATTTGGAGTTCTTGGCACATAGGAAATGGGTGGGGCTCAGCTGACAAGGTCATACTTCACTCAGCACCACTGTAGAGTGGTCCTTGAAAAGGGAAGTCTTAAAGCAATGATGGAGGACTACTTAGAAG